CTACAATCAACTTTGGGAGGTCAATTTCTTAAGTAATTATTACCTTACAGAAATACTAAAATGTATTCATTTGTCCAAGTTGCAATCACCACTGGCAGATTAAATTACATTTACTTTTCTTTAGGTTAACTGTGAAATTTGACAGAATGAGAATTTCTACATGTAAGGACTCTAATAAACCAAAATGTTTGATCCATATTTATTGATGGATAGTGAGAAGACATGAACACAATTATTGTGTGACGTGATGAGGTATGAATGAAGTGGTACTAAATTTGCCTGGGGAGTCAGAGAGGTTTCACAGAGGAGCTGACCTCTGAGTAGCTGGAAGGACAGGAGGAGGAACCCTTGCTAGACAGACAAAGGTATCCCAAGTAGCAGATGGCACATGGAGACACAGAGGAAGCGATGAACACAAGCAGGGTGTTGATGAGTTTGATATGACTGGGTATCACAGTGAGGAAGAAGGATAAGAAACATGAATGGAAGGAAAATTTGGGGACGTATTATTAAAATAATGCTATGATTTTAGACTTTACAAGGAGCCATCCTAAATTTTTAAGCAAAGGAACACTTTGATTTTTAGAATCAATATGATAGTCCCATGATGGCCTGGAGCAGCAAGAGCCTAGAGGACAGATGATTAGTCAGGAAACTGCATGAGAGGTGATAAGGGCCTTAATTAGAGGAGTGGGCTAGGTGAAGACGGAGTGAATGTGAAAGTTGTATGTTCAGCTGATAGAACTCATGGGACTTGTTAACCAATTAGCATGGAGGAAGGGAAGAACTGAAGATGATTTGGAGATTTTGAGGGTGAAGGGGCATAATTCGTCAAGAGAGCAGTAACTAAATCTGTAAGGAGGATTTTTCAACTAGCTACCTTAAATTAAATTGGATAGTGCATCTTTGAAGTAAGCTAAAATACAGTGTTAATCTGAAGTAGAAGATGTGCTACTGAGGACAAACAGTAACACACATAAAGTTAAGTATAGAGGCATACGTTTTGCAGCAATTCTGACAAAATAGATCTATGAATAAGTCCGTAAAGTCCTGTTAGGAATGAAGCATAAAATAACAAGATTAAAAACATATCACATAGATAATAAAAATTTACTTGAATTTTTGTATTTTTTAATGAATCTGGTATTTCACAGTCATTCATTGATCTATCTAACCAAAAAAGCTTTTACTTTATACCATCTATGTGCCTAGCATTGTGTCTGATGCTAAGGACATAAGATGAATATGATATGATTCTTGAATGTGAGAAGTTTACAGTTTAATG